CGTGTTTTCGCGGCCGTTAGAGCAGCGCGCGGTCTGGCCCGGCCCTGCGGCCAGGGAACCGGGTTGGGGGCGATATTTAAGATCCCTGCTGGAGTTTTAACCCCTGTTTCTGCGGATGCTGCCCGAGACGTGTTGTTTTTATTGGTGGAGTGCAGGGATCTCTTTAGTTCCCTTCCATTCCCCAAGACATACTTTCCTGTTAGCTGCTGCTTTAAAAAAATAACAAAAAAAAAAATCCTATTTAAGATACTTGTTCCGCTTCTGCCAGCCCGGAACAATATTTTTATTCGCACCACCAGGCACCTCCTAGCCTCAGGCCAGGAGGCTTTCACCCTTCCACAGGTTCATCTCTTGGGATGCTTTAGGGAAAGGGCCGGGCTGGCAGCCAGGAGCAGCTCAGCAGAGCCACCGGCAGCAACGGAGAGCGGCTGCAGCAGCGCGTTTTCCACCGCTGTTGAAAAAGTGTTGTCCGCGGTGGAGCCTTGCACTTTGCTTTTGTTGCATTTGTGATTTAGTCCAGCGTTCAGCACAGCGCTTGCCAGCCGGTAACTTCTCAAGCTGGGGCGCTGGACTCCTGTTTTAGATCGCTGTCCCCTTGGTGCAGGGATTGCCCAGTATGTTTTGCAGCAACGGTGTTGGCCTTGCTGCTCTGCTATGGTGAGGAACGCAGCCACGGAGCTGAAGGCAGAGGCGCCTCTCGGGTCTGACATGCGCTTCTGAGATTTGTTTGTATGGCTGCCCAAATCCTCTCTAAGACATGTTGGATCTGTTGATTGCCAGCCCCTTTTTCTTGTCTTGTTCTTTGCAGGCTGATGCAAGTGAGATGGAGTCGCTACAACCCGCAATTTCTAGAGCCAGAAGTGAACAAGGAGTTGTTTCAGAAATCCCCGGATGAGCTGTCCGAGGAGGAAAAAGCAAAACAGGAGCTTAAGGCTGTTCGCCCCATAAAAGCTGCTCCTCCCAGTGTCTCCTGCTCTGTGTTCAGTGACCCTATGATCAGGTCAGAGAAAGCACTGTCTCCTCTATTACAGCTAGGTCCCACAGAGCCAAAATGCTTGGGAGTTTTGCTATCCTCCTCAGCCTGTATTTGCTGTGTTGCACGTTCCCTTCCACTACAGCGTAATCCCTTTATTTGCATTAATCTTCCCCACAAAGCCAGTCCATTGCCTGACAGTGGTTAGAGATAATTACAGCCGCCCAGATCTAGCAGCACCCAGACTTAACCATGGGAACAGCACAGTGTGGTGGACTTTATTTCCTTGGGTGATGAAATCAGAGTTTCAATCGAATTGCTTTTGCCTTTGTGTTGACAGTAAATTCACGAACATGATGATGAAGGATGGAAATAAAGTGCTGGCCAGAAGCCTTATGGCACAGGTGAGAAGTGATGATGTTTCTTCTCGGAGTTATGTTTAAACAATACAAAAAGGAAGGCTGGGAAGTCAAGCCCACAGGAATTAGGAAGTGCCGGAATGCAGGTCATCTCTGCAGTCCTAAATCAGTTCCCTCTCCATACACGCGATGCTCACCGTTCCTTACCTGATTAGCCATCCGTGCATTTTGCAGAAGGCCTAGCTTCGTTCAGCTCACAGATTGGGTGGTGATCGCTCAATGAAGAACTGTGTCTTTCCACTGCTCATTGCATCTTAGACCTTGCCTACAGCATACACTCACATCCTACCCTGACAAGCTTCATTTTCTTAAAAGATCTTCCTTTCAGCTGTTTTCATGCCTTATCTTCTACATGCTTTTCCCGTGAAGCCAGGGTCCTGTAAATGTGTCACCTGTATGACACAGCTTTGACCCCTGCGGTGACCTTCAGTAACTGGCATTCACTGGTGGTCCCCTTGCATGCTCCAGCCCTTGAAATGGGGACGCGCTTTGTCCAAAAGGTTCCCCAAGTAATTGCTGATTACTTGTGACAGAAAAACCCCCAAGGGTGTTGGAGTCTTGAGACCAGGCTTTGGAGGGGAAGATGCACACAGACCTGTATTCCTGTCTCTGTTCTGTCCCTGCCCTTCCCTGGCTTAGGTCTGTGCTGCTTGGCCTTCTCGCCCAAATGCTCTGTCCCATAAAGAGAGACGAGCTGGAAGAGAGTGAAATAAAATTTGCTGAGTATGGGAATCCCTGACCGGCCTGATGCCAATAGAGCTAGAAAAGCAGCTGCAGGCTACATTTCTCAAGTGAAAGTGGGGCACCTGTAAATATGATCCGGCTTCATGGAATGGGATAATCTGTTTTCTGTGCATGTCTCCTTTCTTGTGTTTGCCCCAAGACCCTAGAGGCCATTAAGAGGAAGCAGCTGGAGAAGTACCACCAGGCTCCAGAAGACGAGAAGGAGACGATTGAGTGCAACCCTTATGTAATTTTCCACGAGGCTCTGAAAAACTGTCAGCCCGTTATTGGGCTCTGCAGCATCACAAAAGGAGGCAAAACCTACCAGGTGAAAGGAAGGGGCCTGGGAGCACATCTAGTCAGGAGATGATTAACAAGGGAAGCAAAAGCACCAGTTTCCACTGGCAGGTCAGCGTAGCAGAAAAGGTCAGCTAGATACCATGAAATATTTAGAGGTTAAGCAGAACATGTCTCTTAAGTATGGGCTCTACAATGCTCAAGACCTGATGGAGAAAAGAAACATGGAACTATTTCTCCATCTTTCATTCATTGCAGGGAAGTGGCGACTCTGTCTCCCACTCCTGCAGGCACAAAACGACCTGGATCCAGTTCCCGAATAAGCCAGAAGGCCAGTGTCTGCACACGGCACCCAAGACTGATCAGGATTCCCCTTTTGGTAGCAATGGTCAGTTCTATGGACAAACGAGGTGAAGTGGCACAGATCAGCTGCTGGGAGCTCATGCTGTCCATACTGCAGCTGGCCTTACTAGAGGGGTCAGCATGTTGCCACTGGAGCCAGAGCAAGGTGTAAATGTACCCATGTGCAGCTGGACACGCCTGACTGCTGGAGAACAGCAGGTCACTGCATCCTCCCACCGTGATAACTGTTATGGTCTATATCTCTCCCCAGGTCCCAGTCCCTCTGAAAGACAACCGGAAGCGCTTCCTGGCCATGAAGTGGTTAATCACCGAGTGCAGGGAGAACAAGCACCGCCGCACGCTGATGCCCGAGAAGCTCTCCCAGGAGCTGCTCCAGGCCTTCAGCAACGAAGGGCCCATCATCAAGAAGAAGCATGCGCTGCACAAGATGGCAGAGGCCAACCGGGCTTACGCCCACTTCCGCTGGTGGTAGGGATGTGCGCGCTCCGGCACGCTGCCACCGCGAGCCCCAGGACTGCTTGCACGTAGGGGGGAAGGTGGAAGCTCCCCTCTGGACTGCCTCTGGGCTAAGCCAGGGAAACCCATCCGCTCACACACAGTTCATTTCTTTTGTGCTTATTTGGATGGGTGAAAGGGGTGTCTGAAATAGCTGCACGGATGGATGCTCCAGTTATTTCATAATCACCTCCCTGTGAAGACAAGCCTTAGATTTGTTTGTTTGTTTGTTTTTTCAGAGCAACACAATATAAAATAATCTTTCCATTCCAGTTACCTGTTTCCTGGGGGCTTTCAAGTCACTCTGCTCCTGTGATCAGCAATGTTTTTTCCCTTTTTGGCTGCACAGCTGGGGAAGAGCAGAGCTGGAATTTTTTTCCCCACACAATAACCAGTCTCATTATGGTTGGTTTAAAAAAAAGAGGGGGGGGAGTAACAAAAGGCCCTTTTTGACTTTTAGTTCTGGTCATCAGCAACATTATTTGCAAAGAATTGATGGGGATGTTAACAGAAAAAATAAAATGAGATCTTCCTGGGAAAGGTGTCTTGATTCCAAACCTTTGTCTCTGTTTCTTGACTCTCACACTGCTCTCTCCAGCCACCCGATTCGCCTGAAGCCATTCTGCTGCCCTACACCAGAGGAGAAAATGAATACCGCAGCCTTAAGGCTTGAGGCAGGAGCAACTTTTGAGTATTGTTCAGAGCAATCCTTGCTATAGCTCAGCAGCTGCATAGAGAGAACGCAGGGCACGTGTTAGTGGAAAACTTTTATTAGAAAAAGTCTTCAATAAACTATTTCCTTTCTTCCTCTCCCGTTCTCATAAGAAACATATCCTATTTGAAACACACTAAAATTTGAGAAAACAGCAATTATTGTATAAAACTTATAAAACCTGTTTCTAGCTACTTGTGCAGAGGGACTTGTCCTGCTGCAGGCTGCCCTGTGGTGGGTGTCAGTGGCTGGTGACCCGTGGTGGAGGCTGCGTTGCGTGCAGGTACAGCAGCGTGCTGGAGAGTCTGGAAAAATTAGCACTTGGTTGAGCTGTTTGCAAGGTGTCTGACCACAGTGTTCTTCGTGACTTGTCCCAGAAAAGCAGGTACAAGCTGGTTTGGGGACTGTGAGCTGTAAAATTTCCCTTCTACCTGCCTCAGCTCTGCTGGCTCTTGGGTAAACTAAGATGCTCTCAGCTTAAACTGTGCTTTGCTTAATGCATGTATAAAACGCTGGTTTGAACTAGAAGCATTCCTTGCCCTTTGCTGGCATTGGCCCATAATTAAACCAAACCAGTGGAAGAACTTGCTGAGTTATGTGGGCCGTGCCCCTCCCACCTCGCCAAACCTCCAAAGTCAGTCTAGCACCAGTTACAGGCTGGCAGTTACGTGCACAGAGGCTCTAGCCAGTATAACTCCTATTTACAGGAAGTGCTAGAAAAACATTAACATGAAAAGAAATTCAAACTTGGTATGAAGCTTGCTGGTGAAAGTGCTGGGGACATCTCACTGCCTCTGCTGCAGGGGACTTAATCCGTCACTTCGCTGTAGTAGTATTTCTGGGCAGCGTCCGTCATCTTCCAGTCAGCAGCCCGAAACTCAATGATCTCCAGCAGCAGGAGCTGGGACAGGGAGCTGAGCCCGTCCTGCAAGAGGAAGCCGTCTCGGAGGAGGGAGAAGAGCTCGTCCATCCGCTGGGAGTTCATCTTCTCCAGCTGCTCGCCAATGCGATGCAGCTGCAGGACCAAGCAGTCCACCTTCAGAGGGAAGAGAAAAAGCCACCTGAGTACAAAGGAACAAGGGCCTTAGCACATCTCCATTGAGCGCTCCCTCAGTCATTTATGGATGAAGCCATGCTGGTCCCCTTCCCTCTGCCCTGGATTCCCAGCAGGTGACAATTCTGCTTCCCCTGAGGCGCTGTGATCCAGCAGGTAGGAGAGGCTGGATGTCAGTTCTGGGAAAAGCACGCCCTGAACTCCCCTGCCTCTCCAACAAGATTGCCAGAGAAATGCAGCAGCAACAGGCGGAAAAACGTTCATTTCCTGCAGGATATCCAGGAGGAGATGGCAGTGCTGAAGTGGCTGCAACGTGCTCTGAAGCTCCTAGAAAGTCGGGTGACTTGCAGGAGGCAGAGGCACTAACTAGCTCTTAGGAGAAGAGGGGAAAGTTGCTGGGCTGCAGGGGTGCGAGAGTTGTGCGAGGACGAGGTGGAAAAAAACCCAGAGGGCCTGTGCAAGGGCCCGTTCGTTTTGCAGCACCCCCTTGCACGACTCAGGCATGCCCCGCACGGCTTGCTACACCCTCGAACGCTGACCACGCGCCTGCCGAGGCTCCAGCTGCAGAAGAGCTGCCTTCTGCCTGCTGGGGTCTGGCGCAGCAGCGGCTCAGGCCCAGACAGACGAGCGGCAGCTACGCGAGGCGCTGCGTAACACGTCACGGGGACCCACGGGATGCACGGCCGCCCTGTGCTCGCACAGTCACTCCAGCTTTCTGCTGTCACCTCCGGTGGCTGCAAGGCCCCAGCAGCTGAGCGTGACAGCTGCTTTTCCAGATGTCCAGCGGTCAGAGCAGCTGGCTGCTGTGAAAGCAAGGCACAGACATGATCCGTGTTTGTCTCACGTGACAGGAGGTGAACCTGTGTAGCCCCAGAAAGCCCCCGTTTCAAGGAACGGCTGGCTGCAGGGTCTCTGCAGCCGCTCTGGCTTCAGCGGAGCCATCCGAGCAACAGGGAGAAAAGCGGGCGCGAAAAAAAAACGCGGCGTCCTCCCCCCTCGAACGCTGCCCACGCCCGTGCCGAGGCTCCAGCTGCAGAAGAGCTGCCTTCTGCCTGCTGGGGTCGGGCGCAGCAGCGGCTCAGGCCCAGACAGACGAGCGGCAGCTACGCGAGGCGCTGCGTAACACGTCACGGGGACCCACGGGATGCACGGCCGCCCTGTGCTCGCACAGTCACTCCAGCTTTCTGCTGTCACCTCCGGTGGCTGCAAGGCCCCAGCAGCTGAGCGTGACAGCTGCTTTTCCAGATGTCCAGCGGTCAGAGCAGCTGGCTGCTGTGAAAGCAAGGCACAGACATGATCCGTGTTTGTCTCACGTGACAGGAGGTGAACCTGTGTAGCCCCAGAAAGCCCCCGTTTCAAGGAACGGCTGGCTGCAGGGTCTCTGCAGCCGCTCTGGCTTCAGCGGAGACATCTGAGCAACAGGGAGAAAAGCGGCAGCGAGGGAGGACGTGCAGCTGCAGCCCAAGCCAGGGGCTCACAACCAGCACCGCCATCCTGCTGCCCCCCGGGCTGCAAACCCTGCCATCCTGCATCCCTCCTCCTGCCTCCTGCTTCCAGCACCAAGTGGGGAGGACGGCTCCTGCCTGGCCTTAAGGCTCTCCTCCGCACCAGCCCTCCCTCGGCCGCCCCAGCGCGGCGCTGGCATCCCTCTGCCCCGCGCTCACCTCCTCCTCCTTCCGCAGGCTGTCGGGCTGCGCCAGCCGGAAGAGACAGTCATAAACTGGATTCACCAGACCCATCCTGGGCATGTTGTTCAAAAAAGGCAGGAGCCTTCTTCGGCCAGGGGCCGGAAGGGGAAGAGGCTGCAGCTTTTTCAAAGAGTTTTTCCCTTGCAGCTCTCCAAAGAAGAAGGGGGCAGAAATCAGCTGTGCTGCAAAACGCAGTATTGGTGGGATTTGCCTAGGAGACCAGACGTTCGAGTCTCCAGTAGCCAGAGAAACTAAACAAAGGAGGTAAAAATGTCTATTTTTAAATGTAAGCAGGTAGTCATGGGAAATACACTTGTTGCAACAGCATTTTTCCTGCCTGTGGCTCTACTCGCATCACTTTTACATCTACTCTGAGCCAGCATCCGAGTCCACGCACGGCAGCAAGGGCTTGCAGACCATCCCCGTCAGCACGCGGGTGCAAAATGTTTGAGCACCTGCATGACTAAAGAAAATGCAGTTTTCCCCTGCCGGGACCTAATAGCAGCTAAACCAGTCCAGTCTAGGACACTTGGGAGCAGTCAGATCAGAGGATTTCAAATAGCAGGTACAAAACAAGGGAGCTCGGACTTCGGGACTATTCCCAGAGCCAGCACAGCCTCTCTGAGGCCATTCGCTTGCCCCTAG